CTTGTATCCACAATATCTTCCATCCCCATCACTGACGAAAAATACACAAACAAACAAAACTATGCTAAATTCCTCCAAATTCCAGATTTAATAGAATAAGAATGCTCACTATTCTCAAGATATATTTTTTAAAAATTGTAACGAGAAGGCAAGTTTTAAATTAAACAATACTAAACCCAGTATTATCCTAATGCCTGTCCAGGAAGATCTTCCAAGCTTAAATAGCTCAGTGTCAAAGATCCTTGGTGAGTTTAGCTTTGATCTTGATTCACAATAAGAAATACTGTACATTCCAGATCCAGGTCAACTCACAAACAAAGCCAGCAAAACAATGAAAAAGGCCCAAGCTGTGCTCATACATCATTTGAGATTCTAACACAGGACATTAGAATCACAAGCTTTTGCTGCTAGAGCTGGGAGGACTAGCCAAGCCTCTTAGCCCAGGACTAGAAAGATCAGGGGTCCCTGGGCTCACCTCTCTGCCCTCAGTGTTCTCAACTACCATATTCAAAACTGAAAATTGCTGTTGCTATTGTCCAGTATCATAAGTACAGGGAATGCTGATTTTATTTGTGACAGTATACCTATGAAGGCTCAAAAGTGAAATGTCCCCCAAAGACTCATGTACTGCTTGAATCCCCAGTGCAGCAATGTTTGGAGGTGGCATCTAGAAAGATGACTGGATCATGAGAGCTAATGGATTAGTCTATTGATGAGTCATAGTTTAGTAGGCTCTTAGGTAACAAAGCCCAGCTGTAGGAAGTGGATTAATGAGAGTGTGAATTTAAAAGCTGTACCTTGCCCTTGGATCCTTCTTGACTTTCCTACCCTCTCTGATGTCATCAAGTGAGCAGCTTTCTTCTACCACGCCCCTCAGCCATGATGTTTCTGACTTGCCAAGGGCCACCCCAAAGCAATGACAGCTGCCAACCACAGACTGAAATCTCTGAAATTGTGAACTAAAGTAAATCCTTATTCCTTTATATTGCTTTGGTTTTCAGATATTTGGTCACAAGAAAATAAAGCTGTCTGATACAGTGCCCTCAATAGTTGAAGTAAAAAAATTTATGTTCCAGGAAAGAAGGTCTATTGAATCAAAGCCAGAAAAAGCCTAACAGTGTCTCTCTCAGGAATGAAGTAATAAATGTGCAAATAAAAAGGAGGGCTCTACAATCTGCAAAAAAACACTATGTATAGCACACACTGTTAAGTCTTTTAAGCTCAAGTAAAAACAGGTTAAAAAACTCAAGCATATAGTAGTGCACTGTCAAAAATCCCAAGACTGTTAAACTGTTTTGAGGAGAAAGACTACAAAAAGTGCTATAAAAGGAGACTTCCGTTAAAAGAGACTCAAGAAATGTTTTATTGACAAAGTCTAGCATTTGAGTGGATTTGGAGAGACAGAACTTTGGCCAGCTGGAGTTGTCCATCCAACTTGTATTCCAGGCAGACCACAAGTTATGGCACTACAGGGAGACAGCTCAAAGTAAAGGCCAGGAGTCCAGTATGGCACACTGGGTTCAAGGTAGAAGGACAGCACTATAACGTGAGATAAAATCATGAGGCCTGGAGTTTTAGAATATAAAAATCAATTATATAAACAATCTTAACAGACAGAGCTACTCAGTCAAAATATCCAGTTTTAATATTTTGGCTTTAAGAGCAAAAGCTGTCTTTTGTCTAAATCTAAATATCTTCCAACATTTAAGAAAGCAGGTGCTAATTCCATTAATGTTATTCTAATTTGACTAATGAAAAAGACAATATCCATCAAGATATCTAGTCAAAAAGCCATCCAGAAAGTAAATCAATCTATTTATTAGCCTGCTATTATTCATAAGATATATTCCAACCATAATTACTAAAATAAGCAAATCTTAGAAACTATGGCTACTTTTAAAATTTAGGACAATATAAACTATTTTTCAAGCACAGAATTTATCAATTCATTGCTACTTATTGTCTAAATATAACATATTGCTAAGAAAAAGAAACTGTATCACTAACCTGACATAAAGATGTCCTCAATTTTAGTAAGAAACTCCATTTGCCAGAAACTGAGCCATCAAACTTCAGGCAACACAATATTCCTATACATCATTTGAGATTCTAACATAGGACATTAGACTCACAAGCTTTTGCTGCTAGAGCTGGGAGGATTAGCCAGGCCTCTTAGCTCAGCACTAGAAAGATCAGGGGTCCCTGGGCTCACCTCTCTGCCCTCAGTGTTCTCAACTATCATATTCAAAACTGAAAATTGCTGTTGCTATTGTCCAGTATCATAAGTACAGGGAATGCTGATTTTATTTGTGACAGTATACCTATGAATATACCAGTATACCTGGAAAATAAGGTCAAGGCTGGGAAAATAATAACAAATTTTAAATCCATTCCAAACACTTCTGAAATTAAGAAATATTAAAAAGTCATTTTGAAACCATAGCTTCTTTCCAACAAAAACCAAGGATTCATCCAGAGAATTTATACCAACTAATTGTTTAGAAAAATGTAGGAAAATAGAGCACTATTTTATCTCAAGAAGAAGCACTGCCTATCTTTTTAAAAATTGTATTTTTTGAGTTTATTCATAGTACAATCTAGATATTGAAATATTATATTTTTCTCTAAAAGGATGATTCTTTTTATGGGGCTTTCAAGAAAGAAATAGAGGTAATACACACATGCACACAAAGATTAAAATCATCAGGGTGAAGAACTGGCACCAGTGTGGCCACTACTTGTGCTGTATTTTGTAAATCATTAAACTTCTCTGGGCTTTCACAGTTCCACCTCTAAATTGAGAGGGTCAAACCAAAGGATCTCTGAAATGTCACATCATGAAACAAATGTTAAGTACTAGCAGGAGAGCAGGAGGTGGTGCAGAATGAAGTGGACTTTGGAGGAAGGCTGAAGAGTTCCATCAGTACTAGCTCAGTGGCCTTAAGTGAAGTTTCCTTCCCTGTTGAAAAGGTTTAATATTTACCTCTGCAAGAAGATGAAAAGATTACAGTGTATGCAACGTACCTGGAAGATTGCAGGAACTAAACAAAGGCAGACAAGTGATTCTGGTCAGCAATACAAGCTCTAATAGAAAAGTATAATCTACTTAACCATGCAGCTTCCTAGAACTTGGCTTGGACAGAACAGGGACTGACTGAGTTTTCCCAAAGGAAAATTTACAAAATTCTTTTGTAAAGATAATACTGGAGAAGAGTTGATGATAAGCAAAGGCTTTGAGTGCCGCACGTAATAACAATGAGATGGAAAATTAGTGAATGTTGATTCCGTGCTGGAAGAAAGAAGACAGTTTTTCATTAAGAGGACCCCTAGAGGAAGGAAAAAAAAATGTATACACAATTGTGTGTGTGTGTGTGTGTATGTGTACAGGTATACATATTTATAAAAAGATAAGTATATATACATATGATGAATTACTGTACTGACTTCATAACCAAAATAAAGCCGAAAGCTGGTTAGAGACTGCCTCTGAATGAAAGCAGGAGGGTTTTACAGTACACAAATTATCTTTTCTAACCTGTAAGCATTCCCACAAGGGATACAGATGATGCAGTGCCTGCCCACCTCTCCAATGTCACCCAGTACCACTGTCCCTCAACTTCACTGCCCACTAGGCTTACTCTGCTCCTGCCATACTGGCTTTCTCCTTCATCCCTGGAATAGTCCAAACTGATTCTCCCTATATATCCTGTGCACTGTTACTAGAAACTTCCAGCAGATCTCCCCATGGCTGACTCATTTCAAACACCATCACCTCCTCTGGAAAGTCTTCCCTAATGACACACAAGCTCGTTACCCCTGTAATCTCTTCTCTAGTACTTATCTCTACCTAAAATTACTTTTTAGCTTCCCTGTCCACAGCAAATGTAAGGTGTTTCAGGGCAAGAAACCTGCATAAACTGTTCATTACTCAATCTCCAACACCTAAATCAATTAGAGTATCACAGAGATTCACCAGATAAACTGTCCAAAGAATAAATTCAAATGACAATAATCAACATTCTTCTAGGAACAAAAGGGAAAGTCCTCAAAGGCTGCTTTAATCATTCCTTTAATGCAGTTTTCTAGGCTACAATAGAGCAATCTTAAAAAGTCCATGTTTGAGAAAAGTGTTTGACAATACAAAACATGTATACATATCGTTCTGCAAAGCACAAATCGCCCACTAACTTATTACTGAATCCACATTAGAGCAAGGACACTATAAGTTGTTTTCTTTCACCAAATCGTGCTTTAAGAAAGAGGTGAATGGGTAGCAGGAATAAAGATGGGAATTATTTTTCAGAACTCTTCCACTGGGCTAATTGCAGTGTACTTAGAAACTAGATCTGCCTTCTTCACCTTCCTAAACATATCCAGAGTATTACTGATTCAATGGATTCAGTGATCATGAAACAGAAGACAAATGACTAGTTAATTTCTATTTTAAAGGAATTCCAAGTGCCACGCTTTTGACTTATACTTCAACTAAAAGAGAAAAAAAAACAAAACAAAACAAAAAAAACCTCAAAAAACAAAAGCATGCTAATGAGACTGGGGAAAAAATGGCACCATGAGTGTGCAAAGTGAATGGAAACCACTGCCAAAGCATTCATGAGTCATGCTTTGATTTTTATTTTGTTTCGTTATGAACACGACTTTTCTCGATGAATGTGCCAGGATAACCCACACTTAGGACCTAGTCCTCATTTTCAATCGCTCCAGAGGGCCCCTGGCCTCCCAGGGTCCACAGGAAGGAGGAAGGGGACCCCACTTCCTGCATCCTTTCCTGAACCCCCAGTAAAAGGAGGCACTAGGCTCAGTAGTCTCTGGCTTCTCTTCTGCATCCTTCCTGCACAGAGCAGGCCTCGCCATCCCACTGCCCTGGGCTCCCAGAATCGGCACAAGAAACGCATCAACATGTTGCAGTCTCCCTAAGGTGACCTCATCCCGGGACTCAGTTTTCCCACCTGTCAAATAGGGCGAACAGAAACACAGCGTACCTCATCGGGTGGCTCCGGGCAGGCAGCCCCAGCCCGGCCCGAAGACTGCGCGCGGTTCCACAGCAGCGCCCGCCTGGGCCCTGAGGGCGGAGGGGCGGGGCGCCACAGGGCGGACCCAGATCAGAATCAGGCACAGGAGGCACGCACAGACCGCTGCGCTCCAGCTGCCCGGCCGCCCAGAAGACCTTCCCGTGACGTCAGCACGCTGACGTTGACGCAGGGCGGCCCCACCGAGCTCTGGGACCAAAGACACGGCTGAGGCGGAGCGGACCCTAGAACAGGTAGCTGATTGGTATAAGGGCTTGTCAATCACCTATTGACCTGTAAGCGGCGCAGGGAGGCGGGAGAAGGCAGACTGTACTAGATGGAATGGGATTTGGGATCCTTGAGCTGCTTGTGCTTTCCTGCAATATGGTGTTACTCGGTTTCAATTAGCTTCCGCTTCCTCCGTGGCAACTCGGCTTCTACTGCTGTTCTGCAGTCACTTAAGGTTTTAGGCTCCACCTCGTGGAAAATAACCATGGAGACGGATGTCTGGGCATCTGGGCGCCTCCCACTGACTTCTCCGGTAATGAAAACACAGGGCAGTACATTTCTGTGTCGGGATCCGCGCACAGTGTCCCCTCCACTTGTGAATTCTCAACTGCCACGGGCCTATTTAGGAGACCCGTTCTTTGTGCTCCTTTCATAGTACATTAATCATATTTGTATCTTTTCCACGATATTGGGCACCATTTATTCTATATGAGATGTTTTTCTTCAACAGATACTATTTATGTCATTTTGTCTTGTTGTTTGATAACTGGGGATTGAAATTAGGGCCTTCTCACTGAGCTGGATTCCCAGCGCTTTTTTATTTTGAGCCAGGGTCTGGCTACCTTGCTCAATTGCCCAGGTTGGGCACAAGCTTATATTGATTCAGACCCCCAGAGAGTGTTTTAAAGGTACAGAGGAATATGCAGTGAAAATTCTCTACATCCTGTTTTCTCAGTCAGTCAGTTTACCTCTCAAAGGCAATTATTGTTATTTGGACATTGTTCCAGAGTTATTATAAGTGCTATTATAAATTTCAAACTACACAAGCACAAAATATCCACGCAAAAAAAATTTAAATATTGCAAATGAAATTTTCGGGCTAATTACAAACCCAGTCCTTAGCTAATGGCTACTAGTTCTTGTACATTTGTGTGTGTGGAAGTTGTATCTTACACTCAGTGTTGAGATCTTTCCATATCTATGTGATGTAAGTCTACTTTGTTCTTTTAAAATACCTTGTCATAGTCCTCAGAACAATTATACACACACACACACACACACACACAATTTACCACTTTCCTACCCTCTGATATCCAGTTTGTTTTATTATAAATAAGGCTACCTTAAACATATGTGTAGGTGGTTTTCTGTACTTACGTCTAAGTACTGTCTAATGTGAGGATACCAATGAGTGACTATAATGGATCATAGAATATACACATTTTTAGTCCTACTAGATTTCCCTGATTGGTTAACCCTGAGTAGTTCTTACAATTTACATTCCTACCACTAGCATTTAAACATTCTTTTGCCCACATCCTTGCCAAAATTGATAGAAATTTTTAAGTCTAGAAGTGTAATAATCTTCAGTGTATATCTTGGTGACAAAGTGAACCAACTCGTGTAACTACCTCCCACTGCAAGATGTGAAATGTTTACCACCTGCTCAGTCTCAGTGCACCTCCATGAACAAACAGCCATTCTTCTGAATACTACCACCAAAATTAGCTTTATCTTTTTTTCAAGCATTTATAGAAACTCAGAGTATGTATTCTTTTGTTGCTCTTTTGGCTTAATATTATATTTTCAAGATTGATTTATATTAAAGAATGTAATATTTCTTCACTTTTATTTTTGTATATAATTACAAACATTCTTTACTATCCTTGATAACAAGGCAAAGTTTGGGGTAACTACCAATGATACTGATGCAAATATTCTTGTACCTAACCTGTGGAGAATAGGGAAAGGAGATGTTACTAGAACCTTCTAGTAAGTCCTAGTCTCCTGCGAACCACAACAGCATGGCGAATTAACTTATTATAGAGAAAAGGTAGGAAAAAAATGAGACAGAGAATAAGCTGAGCTTTGGGCCTGGTCAGTGCTGCTCTGAGTGGCAAAGACAAAAGCCCTCTGAACCTTCCACCTTTTATTCAGTATATTGGGAGACACAATTGTAAGAAATGACTCAGGACAGACAGTTCAGTACATTAGGAGAAACAAATGTAACAGATGACTCAGGACAGAGTTCAGTACATTGGAAGAAGCAAATGTACCAAATGACTCAACACAGAGAGTTCAGTACAGAGAGAGAGAAAGAAATGTAACAAGTAAAGTGGGGTAGAAGTCCTAGAACAAGGAGCAACTATACAGATGAAGATTTTGTTTCTCCCAGAATGTGTTAAACTGGTGGTCTTGTCCTGGAGCATCACAGCATCACCAGACCATTGAGGTCCTAGCTGTGACCAGAGGCAAAAATAGGGCTATGTCTCAAAATGCTATAGCTGGCCTGTAGTCAGGAGAACTAGGCCTAATCAAATGATTTTTCCCCCCAAATTATGTGGTTGCTCCTGACACTAACTTTTAATGTCCATGATTAATTTTGATATATTTCCAGGAATTGTATTATTGTACCAGGGAATGAATATAGATAGTTTTTTTGGTTTTACCAGTTCATGTGCCTACTAGCAATGAATGAATATTTATTTGACTTTCGTCTTTCAAAATTTGATTTTTCAGTTGTATTTTGTGTTCTTTTTTTCTTCAACCTTCTTTTTCACATTGTAGATAATAATGGCATTTTCGGGATAACAAAATCAGCTTATATGTCTTTATGCCATTTGGGTATCTTTGGTAAAATGCCTGTTTAAGTCTTCTACTCATTCGTTCATTAGGTTGCCTGTCTTTTTGGTACTGGGGCTCAAACCTCGCATCCAGTCTTTTTCTTACTGTGTCTAAGCCCTGTCTATATCCTCACTATGAGTTCTTTGTCACATTTAAGTTACGTACTGCTAAATTTCTTATGCTGTGGCTCACCTTTCATACAAAATTAATGTTCAATTTATTAGCATCTTCTCTAAATCAATACCTTTTATAATTCCCGGGTAATATAAAGAATTTAAAATACTTCAATTTCATGAATTTAACTCCTGAGTTTTTTACAGCTGTTTTCAGGTATTTTATTTTTGTTAAGCCTAGCAAAATATTATTTTTCTTTGTATATACAATATTTGTTTATTGATTTTAACCCATGTATTCATTATTTCCATTACTTACATTTCTAAGACTACGTTTGCCATTATTTTGTTCTTTATTAAGTTTTAGAGTAAGTCTTCTGGTGACCAAAATTTCTACTAAATATCTGAAATAAGATACTGAGGCTTCACTCCTAGCTCCTTTCACTGTCCTCAGATTGAACTGTTTCCTTTTTACATTTAATCCAGATTTATGGTTAGTTATTCATGGTGGAAAGCTGGTCAATTATAGTCAGTTGACCAAATGGTCATTTAAAGCCCAGAAGGGGCTGAATATGTGGAGAAGTGTAAATATGTATATTTAGTATATTCTAGCCTAGAAGAGCAGTATGAAACCCAGTAAAAATATCTGGACTAATGTAAAAAATGATCACTTTGGCAGTTTCACTGCCCTGTCCCTCCACAGAAATGCTGAAAAAGTAAGCAGAAACTGTCAGTATTGCTTTTGCTAGAACTCTGGAAAATGGTCAAAGATCCCCTGCAATCAAATACTGAATCAAAAGAATTCAACTTTAAAATATTAGGATAGTTTCAGAGCATTTTTACTTGACCTTAAACAACCCTGAGCAGGCTCTATAGAAATCTTGACCACAGCAGCCTATTTTCCCATATGGGACATGTGTCCCTGAGTTGTGAAAGAACAGAGAAGACCTTCTCAAAAAATTGTATGTGTCTATTGTAGTGTATCTTAGGGTGGCCTAAGGACTGAAGAAAGATGATAGTCTTTGTTTTGTATAATTAGGAACCCAGAGCAGAAAAGCAGCCGGTATTTATTACAAATATTGTAGGACCAATGCATAATCCACAATCACCTGGGTCAAAGGATTATTGTTGAAGCATCTAATGAAGCATAAAAAGCTTGGAAAGAAATACTGGGGAGAAAATTTCTTTTGGGAAATGAAGAAATGATGCAACATTTGAGAGAGCAATTTTTAATTTTTATTCTTATTTTTTTTCCTTTTTTTTGGTGGAGTGGGAAGGATTTGGAATTAAGGTGACTGACTAACTAAAGAGATAATAGGATGGAGAATTCAGAAACCACACACATCAAAAACATCATGGTACTGACAAAGAAACAGACCTGAGGATCAGTGGAATAGATTAGAAGATGAAGAAACAACACCAAACATACTCAGCTACCTCATAATTGACAAAGGAGCCAACCATCCTCACTTGAGGAAAGATAGTCTCTTTAATAAATGGTGTTGGGGCCAGGGATTTAGCTCAGTGGTTCTGCTGCCTGCCTTGCAAGCGCAAGGACCCGAGTTCAATCCCTGGTACCAATAAATAAATAAATGGTGTTGGGGCCAGGGATTTAGCTCAGTAGTTCTGCTGCCTGCCTTGCAAGCGCAGGGACCCGAGTTCAATCCCTGGTACCAATAAATAAATAAATGGTGTTGGGGCCAGGGATTTAGCTCAGTAGTTCTGCTGCCTGCCTTGCAAGCGCAGGGACCCGAGTTCAATCCCTGGTACCAATAAATAAATAAATGGTGTTGGGGCCAGGGATTTAGCTCAGTAGTTCTGCTGCCTGCCTTGCAAGCGCAGGGACCCGAGTTCAATCCCTGGTACCAATAAATAAATAAATGGTGTTGGGGCCAGGGATTTAGCTCAGTAGTTCTGCTGCCTGCCTTGCAAGCGCAGGGACCCGAGTTCAATCCCTGGTACCAATAAATAAATAAATGGTGTTGGGGCCAGGGATTTAGCTCAGTAGTTCTGCTGCCTGCCTTGCAAGCGCAGGGACCCGAGTTCAATCCCTGGTACCAATAAATAAATAAATGGTGTTGGGGCCAGGGATTTAGCTCAGTAGTTCTGCTGCCTGCCTTGCAAGCGCAGGGACCCGAGTTCAATCCCTGGTACCAATAAATAAATAAATGGTGTTGGGGCCAGGGATTTAGCTCAGTAGTT